AAAGAAAGTTTAGTGGCAATTTACGTCGCCGCTAAAGGCCTTACACACCGTCGCTAAAAGTGACTATTTAGTGGCAACGGGTGTCGTCCCAAAAGGTCTCTTATCCGTGGCCGCAAAAACTTGGTATTCGTGGCAACTAGTTTCGTCACTAAAGGACTTACCGTTCGCCGCTAAAAGTTACTGTTTTGTGGCAACTAATTCGTCGCTAAAGTACTTATCGGTCGCCGTTTGTGGCAACTAATGTCGTCGTTTAAGTTCTTATCAGAGGTGGCCGCTAAAAGTTGGTATTTGTGGCACTTAATTTCGTCGCTAAAAGCCTTATCTGTCGCACTAAAATGACTATTCGTAGCAACTAAGGTCATCGTTAAAAGCCTTATCAATCGCCATTAAAAGACTCATCTGTCGCTCTGAAAGTGAGTAGTAGTGGCAACTATTGTTGTTGCTGATAGACTGAGATGTCGCCGCTAAAAGTGAGTATTAGTAGCAACTTATTTCACCACTAAAAGACTTAGAAGTTGCTGCTAAAAGTGAATATTAGTGTCCATAAAATTGAATACCTTGGTCACTTTATCACACCAGAAGGTGTTTCTGCTGATCCTTAAAAGATCAAAGTTGTGAGGGATTGTCCCTGCTACTCTTAAACAATTAAGGGGCTTCTTAGGCTTGGCTAGTTATTACAGAAGAATTATACATGGTTTTGGAGTTATTTATAAACCTCCTACTGCTCCAACTAAAAAAGATAAATTCAAATGGCACAATACAGTTTAGGAGGCATTTTTGCAATTAAAAGAAGTTTTGACTCAATCTCCTGTATTAGCTTTACCGGATGTCAACAAAACTTTCATTGTTGAAACTTATGCTAGTGGTTATTGAATTGAAGTTGTTCTTATGCAAGAGGGACTACCTATAGACTTTATTAGCAAAACATTATCTCCAAGATATGTTGCTATGTCAGTTTATGATAGAGAGTTATTGGTCATTGTCCAAGCTGTTAATAAGTGGTCGCAGTACTTGTTAGGTCAAAGGTTTATTATAAGGACTGATCAAAGAACTTTGATATTGTGGTTAACAAAGTTGATAAAGGGAGTTGAGAACAAAGTTGTTAATGCACTGCCTGGGCTGAGTTGCTTGCTTTGGTGATTTCCCCAACGAACATTGATCTCTTTCAAGCTATTGTATAGAGTTGGCACATAGACCCAGAGCTTACACAGTTGATTGCAGATTTACAAGCTAATTTTGACTCTCATAGGCAATTTACTTGGTTGCAAGGCCAATTGAAGAGGAAAGGAAAACTAGTGATTAGCAAGGTGCAAAGTTTAAGGACTGACATTATGTCCCTATGGCATGCTGGCCGCCCTCTGGGAGGCATTCAAGAGTAGATGCTACCCTCAAGAGATTGTTGACACTATTTTATTGGAAGAACATGAGAACAGAAGTGAAGGGTTTCATTCAAAGGTGTGATGTTTGTTAGAAGAACAAATCTGATTTAGCTGCTTACCCTATGTAGTTACAAGTGTTACCCATTCCTGACGTGGTGTGGTATCAAATTAGTATGGACTTCATTGATGGTCTTCCCAAGTCCCATGGTTGTGAGGTGATTTTGGTGGTCGTTGACAGACTCAGCAAATAAGGTCATTTCCTCCCACTGAGACATCCCTATACTGCTCAATCAGTTGCCCAAGTGTTCTTGGATACTATTGTGAAATTACATGGCTTACCTGACGCTATAACCAATTGGCAGGAGCTATTTACTCTTGAAGGGGTATTGTTTTATACATCTACAGCTTATCATCTTCAGTCTGATGAACAAACGGAAGTATTGAATAGATGCCTTAAAACCTACTTAAGATGCTACTGCAACGATGATGTTTCCAATTGGTTGGCTTGTTTGCCTATGGCTGAGTACTGGTATAATACTTGCTCCCATTCAGCCAACAAAACCACACCCTCGTATGGCAGGCTACCTCCTCTACATCTGCCTTACTTACGTGGTGAATCAGCTTCTGGAAAAGTTGACACTACCTTGGTAGATAGAGAACTTAAGTTGCAACTCCTTAAGCATCATTTGCATAGAGTTCAACTCCGAATGAAACAACAGGCAGATTCCCATAGAATTGAGAGGCATTTTGTTGTGGGGATTGGGTATACTTTAAGGTGCATTCTTACAAACAAGCGACTATCTCTCATCAGTCTTCTCATAAGCTTACTAACTGTTTACTCAACAAATTCTGAAACAGTGCTTCGATCCTCAAATTCATTGCGAATTCCTGCAATCGAGTAAAAATTTTCTTGATGCATCGCCGCCTTTAATTTTTCCTATGCATCATTTGAAACACAGAAGAAACCTTTTATATGAAGAGAAGCAGAATAAACGAGCAAAAAAGGAAAAGGGAGAGTGGTTTATATAGACAACTTTCGAGGGGGGTTTGTGAATACATGATATTTGAGTTGTTTAGGAAAACATCTACTAAATTATTTTTCTCTAAGGAAAACAAATTTCAAAAAGATCAAATTGAAGTTTAATCAACAAAACATTTGAACAAGATCTCTAACTTCCACAATTACATCAACTGATATTAACGGTAACAACGATAAATTACCTCGAATAAATCAAAGGAGAGTAGCAAGTACCTGAACAAAAACATAGTGTGAATATCCCAAGCTGCAAGACTAGCAAGAGTTTAAGCAATTATTTGACTGAAAATATATATATATATATATATATATATGCATAATGTTGGGAATAAAAAGTCCAAATCAAAAGCTGCAAATTGCAATTATTTCCTTTTTTTCATATGAAATAAACCATTAAATCTGATCTTATATGAAGTTTTAATCAATAAGAAGACAGGCAAGGAAAAACAAAAGCTTGAGATATTTTATCTTTAAGAACTCAAACATGTTATAGATACACTAGGAGGTAGAGAAACTATTTCGGATAGACCTTTGGTTCAAAAAATGAGATTAGCTGAGCCTGTTATAGATACACTTATCAACAAAATCTCTAAGTTACACAACTCTACCCCATTGATAAGTGGCATTAAAGAGTACAATGTGGTTACCTAATAAAATAAATGCATATCGCCTAAGCTGTCGTATATTCACAAAGAATTCATTCAAGTGTCACTTGAATTTAGATGGTTTGAAAGATAACCACATACTTATTGAATTGTCCTTGATAGACGACGATTCCCTCAGGTGAAATGCGTTATAAGGAGGTGTAAGGAAGAGGCCGCGGAGGAGGTACACAGCTGATGGTAAAGATTCTTTCCAATCTTGATTCTTTTTTGATCGAGATGTATACATCCTTGATTCTTTTCAGATCAAGATGTACAGACCCTCAATTATTTTCTGGCCAGGATCACTGATCTCAGTTGTTTACCTCCCCGTGGCATCTTCCTCACACCTCCTAAAACGCATCTCTCCTGAAGGAATCGTCGCCTTAATGATTTTTTCGTCTTGCGTCATAGAAGAAATTTTTTTATTTGAGGAAAAGAATGAGTGAGCTAAAAAAAGAAGAGGAAGAGTAGTTGATATAAGAGTCTCTCAAGGGGATTTTCTAGATGGAATCGCCGCCTGTTGTTTTTTTCTTTCTATGAACTATGAAGAGACAAATGCATGAGCAAAACAGGAGACGCCTTTCACATGATATATTGTGTTGTTTAGTAAAACATCTACTAAATTCATTTAAAATTAGAAAAAAAATTCCATTGATACATTCCAAATTCAATATTTGTCCGATTATATATATATTAGAAGAGTGAGTTAGGATCTAGAATAAACATGGATCCATTATAAAATTAAAACTCAACATTGAGGGCATTTTTGGACCCTCAACATCATTAGGTAAAAAGAAGTGTCTTTTAGCTACAATGTTCGAGTCCGAAGCCTAAAGGGTAAAAAATGTTATTAAAAGTTCTAAAACGGTATATGAAATTTCTTTTTAACCAAAAGGGCAAAATCACTCGCGAAGTATAGCAATTTTGTCCATTGGAAAAAGCAAAATCGCTGCTATAGCAGCAATTCACAAGGTATGTTGCATGAAACTTCATGTGTTGCCACTCCTCAACAAAATGAAGTTGTTGAAAGGAAGCATCGACATTTACTTGAAATGGCTAGAGTACTCTTGTTTCAATCATCAAGACCTATCAAGTATGTGGCAATCATCGAGACCTATCAAGGAAGATATTTAATCTCAGCAGCACATTTAAGAGATCAAATCCCAACCATCCATCTTAGAGGACCTAGAAGTTTCTACAAGGTCACGTGAGAAGCACAAAAAGAAATAAAAGTTTGTTATGGAGGTTACATAGCCAACCAATAGAATTTAGACAAATATATTTGTATTTAGAATAATTTAATTCTTTTAATTAGTTTAGCAGTATTTAAATACACGTATGTTGTAAAAACCCCGCTCCTATTCAACAAGTCGAAAGCCACATAGAATAGGTAATTTGCACCAGGCTCAGCAACCTTCGAACTTGAGGCCGCCAACATGAAAGTCCCAAACTCCAAGATGAATTGCAAAATACATCTTAAGAGTTTCATGAGACAAGTGCAAAACTGTACCGAAACTAGATCAACCATAGCCAAAGAGTAAATCAACAAACTTGATATCCAAGTAGAAACAGAAGGTAATGTTGAAACTACTCGTAGACAATTGCAAATTGCGATCACAAAGTTTAAAATCACCAAGACAGAACGCAACTAAAACTTTAAAACTTCCGATATTCCATGTTTACAGGGTTGAGTTTATCAACTTACCAACAACGAAAAGCTTTATGCGTACGTCAAGCTGCAGGATTAGAGATCCCACTAATAGTCGAGCTCCAGCTGATGTACCAGTTCCACCAGAACTCTTTAGGAGAACCACCAAGTTAAACTCAAGTCTATAATCCTCAACAGAGCACCCTAACAGGAAGATTGTTCACAAGGAAAACTTGGATTAAAGTTCAAAAACAACAAATCCAAGTTAAATTTCAGGGCCATAAAATTTCCAATTCAAAACACGAATAATATACAACTGTATATAGAAGATACATCAGAACTGTAATCACCGAAACGAGAGAGATTCTCATACAACACAACCAGAGCTGAACCAATATCAAAAATCATAACAAATGCAATTATTACTGGACATATGATCTCCTTCCATTAATTGTTTGTGTAACAAGGAATTACAATATCAAGATCATACAATCAAACAAAAAAAAACTAACCCAACTTCACTAAAACCAAATCTACAACCACTAACCAACACCCTAACCTCCAAATCCGTAAAGGGTCCTTCCTTGCCTCTTAAGAGCATAAACAACATCCATAGCCGTCACAGTCTTTCTCCTAGCATGTTCAGTATATGTAACAGCATCACGAATCACATTTTCAAGAAAGATCTTAAGAACCCCACGAGTTTCCTCATAAATCAATCCAGAAATACGCTTCACCCCACCTCTACGAGCAAGCCTACGAATAGCTGGCTTGGTAATACCTTGAATGTTATCTCTTAACACCTTCCTGTGCCTCTTAGCTCCTCCTTTGCCTAATCCTTTGCCTCCCTTACCACGGCCTGACATTTTTCAGGGTTTTGAAATTTAATTTTTGGAAAATTGAATTGAAGAGATGATAAGCTGAGAATTTGACGACCATGATTTCAGTTTTCGGTATTTATAGCTGCTGATATTGTGGATCGGCATTTGTGTTAAATCGTGATCGTTGGTTTTTGGAGATCGACGGATATGAGGATCGATCCGCGTGGAAGTACGATATTTTATGCAAATCGTTGATTAGAAAGAGATCAACGGTTGAGAATGTTTTATTGTGTATTGACGCGGATTCTGATTTTTGAAGTTACGTTTAGCGGAAAATGAAAATGTGATTTGTGAAAGTTAAAAATTATTAGGCGCCTAAAAATTTGGGGATTAGTTGGTTTATATACAGCCAGAAAATTTGTGGATTGATTTATAATATTTTATTAAGAGGCATATTTTAGAAAAAATACAACAGATAATTTGAGATATAATTAGTTATTAGCGCTCCATAACCGTAACTGTCATAAATATGGATTTAGCATGTTGGGTTGGTTCATCCTAACCTGTGATTTTGATACATTTTTTAGCTAAGATTTTACTTGCTTTGGAGTTCGTTTGAATTTGAAAATGCGTCTGATTATCTTCGAATTGAACTAGGCACGCTGCTAAGCTCTTAACGACGTCCATGAAAAATTTCAGTCATTTTATTTCATAAATTCTGGATCACAAAAAACTATAAGTTATAACACATGAAAATCGGTAAAAGATTGGGATTAGCCTACTTTTTGGGACTCCTTTAAACATGAAAATGCGTCGATTTGCCCCTCATGACGAATTGGATCAATTGCTAAGGTCATGACAAATGTCCATGAAAAATTTCGATCATTTTTTTTGAAAATTTCATATCAAAAAAAAATGCATGGACAATAGCACAGGAAAAGCTGCAAACTCTAGGTTGCTTGCTTTGGGATCGTTTGAACTTAAAAATGTGTCTGCTTACTCCTCAAGACGAACTGGTCCATTGCTAAGGTCTTAACGGGCGTCTATGTAAATTTTTAGTCATTTTGTTTTGGGAATTCCGTATCACAAAAAAACCATAGACTATAGCACATGAAATTGACACAAATTAGGTGTACCTGCTTTGAGGCTTGTTTTAAGTTGAATATCCGCATGTTTGCCCATTGGGACAAACTTGTTCCATTGCTAAAGTCTTAACCCATGACTATGAAAAATTTCGTTCATTTTATTTTGTGAATTCCAAATCAAAAAATCCATGGACTATAGCACACGAAAATAAGCAAAATCCAAGTTTTCCTACTTTGGGACTCGTTTGAACTTGAAAATGCGTCCATTTGCCCCTCGGGACGATCTGGATCGATTGATAACGTCTTAATAGACGACTATGGAAATTTTCAATCATTAAGTTTCAGGAATTCCGGATCACAAAAATACATGGATAATAGCACATAAAAATCAACAAAAAATGGTTTTAACTGCTTTAGGGCTCCTTTAAATTTGAAAATGCGTCTATTTGCTCCTTGGGACGATTTAGATCATTGCTAAGATCTTAATAGACGTTCATGAAAATTTTAACCATTTTATTTTAAAAATTTCTGAATACAAAAAATTCATGGACTATAGCATACGAAAATTGACAAAGTTCATTGCTAAGGTCTTAATGGACGTCCATGAAAATTTTTGGTCATTTTATTTTCAAAATGTGGGATCACTAAAAATCTATGGAATATAGCACACGAAAATCGACAATCATTCTCTTTCTCGTGATTATGTTTCGGTAATCTTCTCCGGTTAATCCTTCGACGAGTTAGAAAGAAAAATCATAAATTTTATGTTGAAAATTATCAATTTTTCTTTGGAAGTCATCATGTCCTCCACTGCTTCTATTTCTTTTTAGAGTTCCTCTTTAAGGGTAGAGTGTTGTATGTGCTTCCATCAAACAATTAATGGTGACAAATTTTGTGATTCCTCAATAAAAGAATAACTCAAAATTAAGAAAAATGTAAATGCTTTAAAGAAAATAGGGCCACCAATAAAAAAAATTAAAAAAGAAAGAAAACTGAAAAAACTAATATATTTATAAAAAAAATTATAATGCATAATTATTTAGTGACCAGTAAAATAGTGTCATGTGTTCAAAGTTGTCGTTCTAACATATATATTTTTCACGAATCTTAAGAAAGATTAAGACACTTTCTTTGTCATGTCGCATTTTGAGGGGGTAATAATATCGCTTTGAACAAGATTAGGTTTGTATAATAAGTTGTCATAATAGTTTAAGTATGTAACTAACTTTTCGGTACATGTTTGGAGGGATTTATGTCTTTTCCCTTTTTAGTTTCACATAAACTTTATGTCATCCAAGATATGTGTACAATAATATCATGTAATGTTGTATGTATAACCAAGTACCGATGGATTGGGCTTTGATATTTTTTGGCCCACCGAAATAATGGGTCAACTTAATCTGTCTCGTCAAATTTCAGAACACATATGGGGAACTAGCCGAATCATATTGAGGTAGGCCGGATGGATTGGCCAGCCAATATTGACAGCTCTCGATATTGAAAATTGTGTTGATTTTAGTTGTACGAAAAATGGTACTGTGACTTTTGATTGTAACAAAAACTTAGTGTGTGTTTAATCTTATTAACTTAAAATTACTTTTTTTCCTATTTTTGTATGTGTTTAGTAAATATTAAAGGTTTTTATAAGTTAAAAGAGTTGACATAAATATAGAAAAGCTAGAAAATAAGATCGAAATAAACTAATTTGATTATTAATTTTTTTTCAATTTTTCGATTTGATGTTCAATATAAGGATTTGGATATTTCGTTACACCAAAGAACCAAACTTTTATAAATTAATTTTTAAAAATGAACCAATCTTTTGGTTCCCATCCCAACAATTCCTCAACCAAAAACCAAAAGTCAACTAGCAGAACAGCCATCCAGCAACAAATCAAAGCAATAGATTTGCAATTCAGATAATTAACTTACAAATACTAACAGATATTTTTATCGATGTACATCAAAATCGATGAACCGAGTCGAAATTAATAAAACCAAATGCTCAATCAGGTCTCTAAATGAATTCCAATTAATCAAACTCAAAAGCAGATATCGAACACAAGTGACAAATCCAAAAAGAGAAATTGAACCACCAAATAGCCATCAGACAAAACTAATGGTGTAAAGACCATATGATTATAAAAGCAATAAGCACCACTTGACTGTCAACAACAAAAAACAGTTGGAATATAGCAGAAATATCACATATTTTGGTTCAAAAAGAACATAATATAGTAAACCAAAAAATGTATCAATGTTTATAAACTGTCTGATGTATTATTATATCTTCTTAGAGACCCCAAGCCTGAGTCTGAAATCTTCTTCCATTAGCGGAAGGCCATCGCGCAACTTCACTTTTGGTTCCCATCCTAACAATTCTTTCGCTTTTGTGATATCTGGTTTCCTTTGTCTTGGATCATCTGGTGTATTTTCCACCATTTTTATCTCAACTTTCGGACTGATAAGCTGCAAACACACGAACGAATATATGTGGTTTAAACAGAGTGATTTTCCAGCAGCGGAAATACAAGTTGTGGCAAAATCTAAAGTACACAAAGAGCAGCTTCTTGAGAATATGTGATTACCTCCTTCACTAGTTCCGCAAGCTCAATCATGGTAAATTCACCTGTACAGGAAGATCGACAGGAAATTAGATCAACGTAGTATTTCAAAACTGTAATTTAGCTTGAGCATGATATCAGGATTTAGTCAGTAATTGCAGCACACATGTGTCAATTGATCTGGACTTTGGATTTGCGAAAAGAATTACAAAAAAATTATCAGACCCTTGCCTCCCATTAGAAATTGCACTCATCGAATAAAAATCTGATTATATCACACTCACCTGGGTTACCGATGTTGATTGGCCCAGTGTTATCCCCTTCCATTAGACGGATAAGTCCATCAACCTTCAAAGTATTGAAGACGAGGGGGAAGAAAACATTAGGAGCAAACTCATATAGCAATAACGACTATGATAGTAGTTCATTGACATACCATATCAGAGACATAACAGAAACTGCGAGTCTGTGTCCCGGGAGCTTGAACTGTTAATGGTTCATCCCTTTACAACGGAGAAAATCAGGAATGTTAGTGAAAAAGATTGGTATAATTAGGCGGGATATGGATCGACAGAGAGAAATTGGTGATTGAATATGCAAAACGGTTGAACAAAAGCAAAAGTCGATCATTACAGTTGACGAAGCTACTAATAATCATCACAAATGGACTAAGAAAACAATGGCCTACTTTGGAAATCACGGCCAACGTATCATTAAGCATGTAGTTACATTTGTATATTCAGAGTGATGACAATCAAGAAAGAACTTACCGAAGTGATTGAGCTATAAAGTTGCTGACTACACGCCCATCGTCAATATTCATACGAGGTCCATAAGTGTTGAAAATTCTAGCAATTCGTATTTCTGTTGCAAAATGCATAGATATCATGAATGCATCAGTGGAATATTGTGGACAACCTGAACAATATCAAAGGAACTACAAATTACCAATCCCATGCTGCCGGTGGTAGTCAAACATCAATGTCTCTGCCACACGCTTCCCCTCATCATAACAGCTTCGAACTCCTAAACACAACAACAGTGACATTGTTAGACATATGCTTCAACGAGATGCTCAAACGTTGACTTAGATACACTCATCAGATCAAAATCGGTGTTTGATTTCTAGTTTCGAATTTATATTATCCTTTTGCTTTACTACTAAACACTTAAACTTTTTGTAGAAGAGTCTTCCTGTGATCAACGTGATTGAGTGAACCAAGTAGTCTAAAAGAGAATAGTAGTGAAACTTTAGTTGTTGAATCTCCAGATGCAATTCCGTATTGTCCTCCAAGTTGGAACAGATGTAAAAACATGATTAATACACACAAAACAACTTACAATATGGTGCCAGTGTTCATAAGTTGAAACAATGTTCGAGTTCGTGAGGTTTTCATGAAATTCAAGAAGTAAGAGGACGTACCGATTGGGTTAACATTACCCCAGTAGCTCTCAGGTTGGGGATGCACAA